TGCACCCCTTGCCTTCCCTTGTTAACTTTCCATTCTTTCTTTGGGCCACTGAAGTCAGGCTTCTGTTCCCATTATTCTACTGAAAGCACCTCATGAAAGTCACTGGTTCCCTCGTTGCCAAATCTAGTGGCCTCTTAAGGCCTCATTTACTTGACCTTGCTAAGACAGCAGCTTTTCAACCTTTTCATCTCATGGCACACATAAACGAATTACTAAAATTCTGTGGCACACCAAAAAACATTACAGTGGTACCTCAGTTTTCGAATGTACTCCATTCCAGAAGACCGGTCGAGTCTGAAATGTTCGAAACCCAAGGGATCCACAGCTGACAGCTGGGCCTCAGGATCCTGCCCTCAGCGGAAGCCCTGTGGCGAGGTTACTTCTGAGGCGTGTTCGAAAACCGAAGCATTTCCTTCTGGGTTTAGGGTGTTCGTAACCCGAAATGCTCGTCAACGGAGATGTTGGAAAACCGAGATACCACTGTATATTTTTTGCCAGTCTGGCAAAGAAAATAGCTATAATTTTAATTCATTCACACCGGATGGCTATTGCTGTGTTGGCTATCATCACTTTTTAGTTTGACAATCTAAGGGAAAACATCAGTGCCCCTAACTAAATAGTCAGGTATTGACTGCATGCTTTATAAGTCCTGGCAGCACACCAGAAAAATCAGTTCTAAGACATTAAATACTGACCACGCCTTTCTTCTTGAAAACCTCCCTTTGCTTTCTGGGGTGTTACTGTCCCCTATTTTCCTGCCTCTAATACATTCTACTTATTCTCCTTTGCTGCCCCTCTTCCTCTGCCCACCTCTTTAATGCTTGTGCTCTCTGACTCTTATTTTCCTTTCAGTAGTCTCACCCATCTGCATGATTTTCATTATCATGTAACTAAAAAATTACATGAAAATTCCTAAATCTGAATCTTTCACCCATATCCCTCTTGAGTGCAGACCCACATGATATCATCCTTATAACAGTCCTATAAAATAGTAATGTTTTTCACATTTATAAGTGAAGAAATTGAAACTAAAACATGTTTGGTAACCTGTTTAAGATCAAGCATTCAGTGGAAGAGCCAGAATTTTAACCTGTCTAAAGTTAGGCCTTTCACTCTGTAATATGCTATTAATCAGATATCTTCACCTGACTATCTGACAGATATATTAAATATGTCCTGTCCCATACCATGCCATCTCAGAACTTTATTCTTACTATTCCCCCCAGTAAATCAAGAGAGATAGTATGAAAACCAATATTCTCAATCTCGATGAATGGCATCTCTTCTTTTAGTTATCCATGCCAGAACTGTGTAGAGCATTGATATAGACTTCCCTCTCTCTCCATCCTACAGGCCTGTCCAGCTCAAGCTGATGCCAGACAGTTCCTGTGTAATTCTCCTTCTTTAACATGACTTGTAATCATGCCCTTCTTTTTACTCCCACCGCTCCTGTGACAGTTGAGAACTTTATACCAACCTGGATTGCCATTATTGTGACAATCCAACTCATTGCTTCTCCTATTATCTGAGATAAAGAACTAAGGTTTCTTGTTTTTAAATTTTTAATCTGTTGCAGAAATGTTGTAGGCATATAAAAAATGAATCATTGGAAAACTGAAACGAAAAATGATGTGCAAAATAATAAGCTCCATTTTAAATTCGATCGGCATGAAATTACTCTGAAATTTCTGTAGATGTTTTCAAATCCTAGTTTTCTATGTATATCTTGTCACAGACAGATAAAAAACAGTTTGTGGATTGGCACTGGTCCATAGACAACATTGAGGAGCACCAGTTAATGGTTTCTGATGAAAAGAAATGTCTTCAGTTTTCTCAGATTATAACCACATGGGCCTATGTTATTTAAAACTGAAATATTTCAACTAGGACATTCTTTGCTCTTGGCTTGTATATGTGGATTTAAGAGGTTTTAGAAAATTTCCTGTTTTTTTAGATTCCCTCTTTCAGTATGAATAAATCCCATGTGAGCAAGGGGTAGTCATGTGTTACATACAACTTAATGCTAAGATTAAAGTTTACCGACTTCAGAATCCAAAGCAACATTTTCTTAAATAGGCTTGAAGTGCAGTCTTCATGAGCTACCTGTAATAAAAGTGAATTCATCTGGTTTGATATATTTAACTTGATGTGATTGCACATACATACAAAAGTTTGTTTCTAATGTGCAGTAAAATACAGCAGATGGGTTGATGTGTTCCATTTATGAAAGATTAAAGTTCTATATAGGTATTAATCTGACTGGGTGATAAATAATACAAGTTATCTGGATTTGGGCAGGTATCTGATTTAACCCTTGTCAAAGATTTGAAGTTAATGGATTGTGGACAGGAGATGCTAAAATGGTCAGACTGTGGATTGCCCCTTGGCTTTAACCAGGGCATGGCTTTGGAATCCAAAAACCCAAAAACGAATTTTTAGAGGGATAGATGAATTCAGGGATGAGAATGATCTAAATATTAAACTAAGATCATACCTAGAGTTAGTTTAGAATTTTATTAAATGAAACAATACTGCCGAGACCCCATTATTGTCTATATCAGGTCTGACACAGAACAAAACACATGGACAAATACCTAAGATAACATAATTTTCCCATATTAGGTTTTAAAAAGTCTTAAAAGGCCTTTTAGGCATTTTAAAATGAAAAGGCAAATTAAGCAACTAATCTGCAGCACTGCCAGGTACTAAAAAACTACCACTGAAAATTTCTACCCATTAAGTATTCATTCAGACTTAAAAAATTTTTTTTAAGTTTTACTACAGCAATATTTGCTGTTAATTAAGTAAATGACTCCCAAACTCAATTAACTATCAAAACAAAATTAAACTTTGTCACAGAAATTGGGGTGCTCTAGAAAGTTTAGGAGACTAAATTCCCAAAGCAGGACACTATAACTATCACCCTTCTTCCATTTCCACATCATTCACAGGAGATGGATAGATGGCAACTTGCTAAACTCACCCTTAGAAAGTGATTAAAAGTTTTATTAAAAGAAGGCTTTTAAACTAGCGTAGCTTTTATGAAGTTCAGGATGGAGAGGTAGGAAAAGTCAACCTAATTGTGATCTCTTTGCTCCCCAAAGCAAAAAGGGGGTAAGATACAGTGAAAGAAAATGTATTTTTAGAGGTAATAAAGGAAAAAAATAAATAACTTTTGTTAATTTATATTGTAGCAAGTTAAGGAATAACAGGTGTTCACCAGGTAGACTGGGATGGAAGGGAGAAATGATGACATTGCAAGCAAAGGGAACAGAGGAAAGAAGGCATGTGGAGGCTAGCATGAAATAGCAGCCTGGCTTGTTCTCAGAGCAGAAAATAGTTTGGGATGGCTGGAGCACACTCAGCAATGGAGTGTCTAGTGTCTACCTTATCATGAGAAGGCTTCAACCAGTGCTTCTCAAACTTATGGCAACTTAAGTCATCTGAGGATTTGTTAACATTCAGATTCAGGGAAGAACTTGAGAGTCTGCTCTTCTAAAAAGCTGCAATTTTGAGTAGTAAGACTATAAATTTTATCTTAATTTTTATTGATACTTTGTTTCATGGATTATGAGTTGCCACTGTTTAGTTATTTAGTGTTTATTAAATAGTACAAAGTACATGGCATTTCTGTTAAGCTAGATATTAAGTAATTTTATGTAAGTTTTGCTTTGCTGATGGAGAAATAATACTCTTTGCAGCTTCATTGCCAAGTACAAAAGAAATAAATAATTTATACATAAGCTCTCATCCTTTATTGAATTAGTTGAGTAGGGCTATGCAATATAATAATGGAAAGAATCTAAAATTTGGTATCAGATTTTTAGAACTGAGCTCGTCTCAGTTTTGTGACTAAATAACTGTGACATTATGAAGATAAATTAACCCCTCTTTCTGTTGTTTTTTCCTCTTGTCTGAAATAGTTATAATACTTGCCATTTTATAGAATTGTTGTGAGGGTTGGAAATGATGTGTATGAAGTACCCTGTAGGGAAAGGTTAATGGAGGTTTCAATGACCAAATTTTTGGAATCCCTTAAAAGCTAAAACTCTATGATTCTTAAAGAACATTGAATGATCTGATCCTAGGAATTATTGATCTGTGTGTGATTATTTACCCATCTACTTTTTTAGTGTTTTTTTCTCAGTGACTCTTAGCAAGTTGGGGAGTATGGATCTTTGTAGTTTATAAAAGCTGCCACCACTACACAACCTCAAGATCCACTTATACTCATGGTGTATATAACATGGTTGTTACAGAGGACTATATGTTATATTTCTGAATGCTCTGGAAGCATGAGAAAACAGGTTGGATTATAGTTTTATCTTGTTTTTACAGTTCTTTTGTCTTATTTTTAGTATATCTTGATTATAGAAATTTTCTATATTATTTGCCACTTTCTGTTCGCTGTGGAATAGGAACATCCCTTTTCCAGGGGGAAAATAACCAGCCTGTTGCTTAGCCATTGTTTCAGCCTGTAAAGGGTGTACGAGTGTGTGATCCTCCTTAGGGAGAATGGAACTCAGAGGAGCGGCCCACCAAGGCCCTAAAAGCAGGAATTCTGGGGTTCTGGTGCCAGGACCCCAGAAGGGGTACATGGACTGTAGGTAGGCACATCTCTTTGATCTTACTGACTCCTCATCTTGTGGGGACAGGAACAGCCATAGTCACACCAAAGCAGGGCCCTCTAAAGTTCAGGACAAGGGCCCAAGTTATTGTCCAGGAGTGTATTAAGGAAGTTAGTATTTAATCAGTTACCTTTTTTTGGTACTAGCCTGTTTATTTAGCTTTCTTATTTCATGACTGTAGTATATTTTTATTTATGCCTGAGTTTTTAATGGTTACAAGAGTTATGGCATATTATTTAGTTCAGTAGCTCTGAGATGGAAAGAAGCCTTAGTGATAAAAAAAATTCTTAGGTTAAATGTGGTTTTGCTAGTAGACACTTTATTATGAGCTTTTCTTCCTAACTGTCTTGTCCTTATGTTTCGGTTTTTCAGACCGGCTTCCGCTCCCCAGGAATATGATTGAAAACAGCATGTTTGAGGAAGAACCAGATGTGGTAGATTTGGCCAAAGAGCCTTGTTTACATCCTTTAGAGCCTGACGAGGTGGAATATGAGCCCCGGGGCTCTCGGCTGCTGGTGCGGGGCCTGGGCGAGCACGACTTGGAGGAGGACGAGGAGGACTGCGAGTCGTCGGCGAAGCTGCTGGGCATGTCCTTCATGAACAGGAGCTCGGGCCTGCGGGCCAGCGGCGCCGGCTACAGGCAGAGCCCCGACGGGGCCTGTTCGTTTCCCTCCCTAAGGACCGTGGCCGTCTGTGCTTTTGTCATTCTGCTTGCCATTTCTGTAATAATGGTAATTTATCTACTGCCCAGATGTACTTTTACCAAAGAAGGCTGCCATAAGAAAAACCAATCAATGGGACTAATTCAGCCGATTGCAACAAATGGGAAGCTGTTTCCATGGACACAAGTCAGGCTTCCCACTGCCGTTATGCCACTGCACTATGAACTTAACCTACACCCAAACCTAACCTCAATGACATTCGAGGGTTCTGTGGTGATTTCGCTTCAGGCTCTTCAGGCCACGTGGAATATCATTCTTCACAGCACGGGCCATAATATTTCAAGAGTGACCTTTATGTCAGCAGTTTCAAGCCAAGAGAAACAAGTTGAGGTCCTGGAATATCCATTTCATGAACAAATCGCCATTGTCGCCCCTGAAACCCTTCTTGAGGGGCAGAATTATACCTTGAAGATAGAGTACTCGGCAAATATATCTAGTTCTTATTATGGGTTTTATGGTATCACCTACACAGATGAAAGTCATAAGAAAAAGTATGTAGCCCTGTTAAGTGATTCTGTTTCTTTGCTCTTTGACAATTTCTGCAATATGGATTTTTTTGCTCACACCAGGGACATTAACAGCAATTTTTTAAAATTTAGGATGTTATGTGTGAAAGAGTAGCATGGTGATTTGGAAGAATGTACTTTTTCTTTCATAGTCAAAACCTTGAGTATATATCGTATATCATGGTGGGGGTGGGGGCATGCTGATGGAAGGAAATGGATAAAGATTATATCTATTACAGTCTTTATCGCAAAACTTACATTATTTTGAGTTTTTTTATATCTTATAAGATGAATCTAGTTTTCTGTCACCTTACAAGATCTCTGGGAAGCAGAGTAAAGAGGGGTATGGATTATTCTTTAAGACCCATTTTTCTAATGTGTGAAACTTTTAGGAGGTGCTTAGTGAGATGAGAAAGAGGGTGTTAAGAAGTGTTGTATGCTTACATATGTCATTTTTAGTATCTTTAATCTTTGCTGGTTTATTTTTTTTAAATGCCACTGGCTATTTTGAATTTCTGACAGAAATTTTTTTAAATCTAGGAGAGACTTAATTTGTTTTGTTTTTTAAGTGACTCAAAACATGAAAGTATTCAGCTCCCTATTTAGACTATATATTTTGCACTTTAATCTTAGTATTCATAGCATGTAGTTTGAATTTCCAAAAAAATGCCGTGCATACTGCATACAGGTTATTCTTAAGCAGCAATAATGTCAATTCTCTGTGTGCTCAAAGTCCTCATTAGATCTGTTTCATGCAGCTGGAGCGTTCTCTCCTATTTCTTTGCAAACCAGTATGCGAATTACTGATGCCATTTGGCTAATGTATGCTGATATTTTGAGAAAATTAGAAATGAATATTTTAAATCCATTTGAGAAAGTTTTTTGATTCCTTTTAAATGGGGAGACAAAAAGCAGGCCTGCAGTACTATTCAGTTAAGTAATTTTCCTCTTTTCTCTTTATGTAATACTTTTAAAATAAATTGCATGCTGGCTCTTCGTGAGATCTGACATTAAAAGCAAATGTATAATTGCAATGGCAGTTAGAGCTTACTGGCTGTACTCCTTCGATAATCTCTATCATCTCTAGGAATTATAGGATACACATAAAAACAGTGTTTTTAGTATGCAAGTAAACGTACAAGGCAAATCCTTTATCATCTCTTCCAATTAGATTATTGCCCTTGGAGTCCCTCATACCTTCTACTATATGATGAGAGGGAAAATGTTATGTGGCAGAATAAGGGAATTTTTGATTTGGTCACTTGTTGACTCTTGCCATGGGCTGGATTGAGTTATGGAAAATGCTAGAAAAATGGAACACAGTTCCTTAAAATTAAGAAATAGAGTATTAGAAAATAGTATTTCAAATTCTTAAAATAAATTAGTCTGTGCAACTCTGCTGTTACAAAAAATATATAAATTCATTAACCTACCTGGTTAGGTAAAATGAATATCCTACAAGAATGTATAGCTTACAAAATAAAAGTTTAGCAGATTACTTATACCTTTGAAAATGTCTGAAAACTATAATTCAAAGCAACTTTGGGGTCTCTTCCCCACTTTTAATTTTGCTTAGTTCTATTAGAGAAGTTTTTTTGTACTTTTTACCCCCTCTTAGGTATAATAAGAATAAATATTTAAACAAGTAGGTAGAGTAATTAAGGGATGTATTTCTTATTGATTGGAAAAGCAGAATATATGTACATGCCAAACATGTATGGACGCTGCTTGTGGTAGGGGAAGGTTACCAGTGTCATCTAAGACAGGAAGATGGTCAATGAATCTAGAAGTTGTTGATGATAGACTTAGGTTCTAGATAACAAACTGATACTAAAGGAACTAGTAAACAAATTTAGGTTGGGGATGTGTTTTATTTGTTTGTCTTTCAATCTGTCAGTGTCTTTTGCTTGAACTCTTGAAGCGTCCTCTTAACTGATCTCCTGGCTTCTAATCTTACCACACTTTCCCCCTTCCTCTTGCCTCCATCTTCCACACTGCTGCCAGACTCGTATTCTAGAAATACAGATCTGACCATGTTGGTCTTTATTTTAGGATCCTTTAGTGGTTCCTCATTTCTAACAGGATTTAGTTCAAGATCTTTCAAGATCTGGCCCTTGTTTTTTTTCACAGCCATTATGATAATAATAGCCCATATTTACTGAAAACCGAAGTTCTAGAAACTGTTCCAGGCATTTTATATGTTTAGTTGTTTATCCTATCAAACCCACTAAGAGTGTGATATCAATATTTTATCCATCCAGCAACTTATGGCTAGCAGGGAGCAGAGGGGCAACTTAAACCCAAGGTCATTTTAACTAAGAGGCCACACTCTTGACCATTGTGGGGTACTGCCTCCCTAGTTCACATCTCTTTTGTTTTATCCATTGTTATCTCCAGTGCTTTAAATTCTCTTACCTGACTCCCAGCTAATTTCATAATTGTCTTCAGCACTACTAGAGGTAGCACTCAAACTACAACTAGTATTTCTGAAAGCACATGTGTCACTAATACAAGAATAAGCTTCAAGGTATTCGGCGTAGGTAGGGTAGGTTATAAGTATCAGCAAGCAGTAGCCTTCTCAGACTTTTATGTGAAATAGTTATTGTTACATCTCGTTTAACCATAATTTAAGATATTATTTGTTGTAGCATATCATGATCCAAGTTTTATCCAAAGTGATGGTCCAAGTAGACTCTCTTATATGAGTAGTATGGATATCATCAAACTTTATCCCCTGGTTCTTGTGGGTAAGAATTTAGGGGTGGGGTGAAGAAATGTAATGTTAGAAATGTAATATGTTTAAATTGTTTCATGTATGTTGATTGTTATCTTGCAGTTTACCCAATAGAAACAGCTATTTGGGCAAATCCTTACCAGAATGAAAGTATAATAATTTTAACCATGAAAGAAGAGTTATCTAGCATTTATAATAAACATCTGTGTAGGACTTTATGGCATACAAGTAGTTTTTACTATAAATAGTTTGATTCTAACAAAAACCCCAGATGTTTGTAGGGGATCCCACCTGAGTCCTAATTTAATAAATAAGGAAATTGAGACATAGGTCATTGATTTGCCTGAAGTCAGATGGGTGGTAAATTGAAGTTTGTATCTTCTAACTCTATCTCCCACACTCTTTTCTACTTATCTTTTAAAAGCAGAAATGGCCCTAAGCAAGCGAGGCTATCATGCCTAACTAAAGTGGCAGCTGTACCCTGGCTGGTTTGGCTCGGTGGTTAGAGTGTCGGCCCGCTGACTAAAGGGTCCTGGGTTTGGTTCCAGCCGAGGGCACGCACCTTGGTTGCAGGTTCAATCCCTGGCCCCGTTGGGGCATGTGCAGGAGGCAACCAATCAATGTTTCTCTCTCTCTCTCTCTCTCTCTCTCTCTCCCTTTGCCTCTCTCTCTTGCTCGCCCCCTTCTACTCTGAAAAAAACAATGGAAAAAATACCCCTGGGTGAGGATAAAATAAATAACTAAAGTGAAGTGGCGGCTGTGTATGTACCATAGTGACTGGCTGGCACCAGAAACGTGCACGCTAGGGCCACACTTGCCGTGATTGCTCTACGGCCGTGTTTGGATGATTTCCCAAATGTGGATCTGTTTTATTCCTCAGCTTAACTGAAAAACCTGCATTTCTACTCTTTTTCTTTTTATGCTTTACTCCCAACCTTTCGATGTGTCAAATTCTCAAGTGCTGTTGCTGTGCTGTAGGAGGGGGAGGAATATGTTTAATTTATTTCTGAAGAGAGTAAATGAAACAAGCATACGATAGGACAACTTTTTTTTCTCTTCAGTTTTCCTGAAAGCGCTAGTTGTGAGTTTAAGGTTTAGTGTTGTGAAATCAGAGTCTGTACAGATGAGTAATAATAAAAAATGACCACCCTTCATACTGATCTTCCATCAGAAGCCTTTTATAGTGGCCATCTCTGGCCACATTGAACAGCCATCTTAGTCCCTGGACATGTACTGCTCTTTCCTTGTGGTTTACCTCTTTCCAGATTGTACTTACTTCCCTTCTCTACCTTTTCCAGTATTCCTCATTTTTTTAAAGGCCCTCTTCAGATTTTGTCACCAGTTTCCTTGCAATATCTCAACTGCCAGTCAGAATCTGTTTCCTACCCTTTGTTTCCAGTGCTTTGTTTTCATTGTTATGACATGATTTGCAGCCTGACAAGTTTCTGTTCATCCTACAACCTCTACCCCTCCCAGTTGATTGTGGATCCTTTAAGACTGGGATTGTATGATGTTTATCTTAGTATCCATAGTACTTGGCAAGGTGCCTTGAATAGTAGGTGCTCAATAACTATCGGGTGAATTTGCATTTGTTTTAGGTACTTTGCAGCAACTCAGTTTGAACCCCTGGCTGCAAGATCTGCTTTTCCTTGTTTTGATGAACCAGCATTTAAAGCCGCATTTACCATCAAGATCATAAGAGAGGAGCAATACACTACTTTATCAAATATGCCTAAGGTACTGTTCTGGTCCTTGATTATAAAATCTTTCAGTGGGTCTCTTTCTTTGTTATAAAGACTTGAATTCCTCTTTGTCATATTATTGAGAATGATTAAAATCTCATACATTCTTATTCTTTCTTAAAATACATATATAAAAGTTCAAATATATGTTGGAATCAACCGAGAAGTCAGCCTGAGGAACACTTGAGGAAGGAGAAAGACCTGTTGGGTGTGGAACATATGGGCAGGAAACATGAAGTGTGTGCTGTGTACTAAAGATGTGAGAAATATTAATACTATGAAGCAGCACGGAAGATCAGAGTGATATTTTCTGACATATGATGAATTTACTATTCTAAACAGTGATATTTCATAGTGTTGAATTGTGATTGGCCTTGGTGTTTTATTAGTTATTTAAAAATCAGTATTGTAACATCGAGGTTTAACAAGAACAAACAACTTTCTGTTATATGAGTTCTGCATGGGAGGCAGTGAGGGTGAAACCAAGCAGAATTGTTTTTATGCTAAAGAGAACTTAGGGGGTCCTTTTGTTGACACCAGAGCCTGACAGCCTTTCAGAACCCATGTGGCTAGGGAAGAGGAGCAGCCACATTCAACAGACTATGGAGTGAACCCTGGTAGGCAAGAGAGGACGTGTCTGTCCTTCAACAGGTGCGTCATTTCAACAGCTCCACTCCCAGACATACTCTTCACCTTAATCTTTCTCTAAAGAGGTGGAATGCCTACTTGCCTAGTATCCCAAAACATATTGCAATTTATGGTCAGAAATCCTATAAGATTGCTTACATTCCCTCATCTTGTGTCTACTACAGACTTCTCTAAAGACTTTGAGCCCACTGAACCTTTCTGGGGTCATCACATGGTACTTTCTGAAGCTGTTTCAGATCATTTGGAGTGATGTCCCAGCTTTAGCTCCTTCAGTGAGTGTGTTGTAGCAATAGAGAGGAGCACTGCTAGATCATAAGGAAGGATTTTGGTTTTGATGATGTTTTAAAGGGGAGAAACAGAGCCAATATTGCTTACTATCTCTAACTTACATTTATTTAAAACCAGCTTTAGAGACTAAAGACTCCTTAAGGATTTTTACTGTAATTAATATGTCCTTATGATGGAGGATGGTAGAACAGCCTGAGATTAAGAGCCATACTCTGTTTAGAAACTAGTGCTGAGAAATTAAAATATGCCAACATCTTTACTACTTATTTCCTATTTGAATTTTCAGTTTCTCAGTTTATTTGTCACTGTCATTTATTCCCATAGTTATAGAATTGTTCATCTTTTCCCCTTTGCTTGTAGAAGTCATCAGTCATTGTGAAAGATGGACTTGTTCAGGATGAATTTTTCGAAAGTGTGAAGATGAGCACTTACCTGGTTGCTTTCATTGTGGGGGAGATGAAGAATCTGAGTCGGGAAATAAATGGAACCCTGGTATGTTGTTATGGCATTTATCTTGAAAGAGGCTGAGAGGAATTCTTTATTGATTTCTGGTAACTGCTTTATGGAGGATAACAAGTTTTTGGATCACAACTCTGACAGTTTATGCCAGAACTCTTACTTTTTGCTTAGTTGTTATTTATTTTTAATTGAATACCTGCAAGTAAATTATTTTCAAGTTTCTTTTAATTTTACTTTTACAAGTAAATTCCAGTAAGACAACATATGGGGTGGGTAAAAGGAGGTTTTTAGTTCATATGGTAAACATTACGATAATTAATAAATAATTATATAAGACTAAACTCTGTGTTTTGCATACTCATGAATAACGCTCCTAGAACTGTATTGTACACTCTGGTGGTCACTAGCTTAATGCGACTATTTAGATTTAAATTAAAATTAGACCATAGTATCATGGCTGAATAAAATGTTCTTTACTTATGCCCACCTCCTCTGGTAATCATTTCACAATATGTAAGTGTATCAAAATCAACACATTGTACACTGTAAATTTACACAATATTGTATGTTAATTAAATCATTAAAGCTGAAAAAATTAAATTTAAAATTCACTTCCTCAGTCTCATAGCCACATATTTATAGTGTTTTTGTATGTGACAAGTGGCTACCGTACTAGATATCATCAATACTAAATATTTCCATCAATGCAGAGAATTTTATTGGACAGTCAGTGCTGAATCTAAACATTATGCAGACTTAAAAGCTAGTGTAAAAATGTAGTTAGAAGAAATACTCCAGGTTGTGAAAGTTAGTTGAATCTTCCTTTTTTAACAAGCAAGGCCTAATTGGAGTAATAAGTAAGATTATTTAAGAGTTTTGTGTATCTGTGATTTGTCAAAATAGATTATTTGTTCTAATTGGCTCCTCTGTTTCTCTTTGTCATTAGTGATCTTCTGTAAATGATTTTTGATTGGATTTTATGTGTTAATTTTACAGTAGAGACCTAATAAAACTCATATTTTCACAAACTGACATATAGAAAAAAAGGGTCTTTTAAAGCTAATAATAATTATTCTTCATGATAGAAATGGAATTCTTTTTTTTTTTCTTTTCATATTTTTGATTCCCACCAGGGATCAAACACATTCAGTTGGATTTGCGTTTTCTGCCTCGGCTAAAGAGCTTTATTTTAATCACAGTATACTTGGATCATATTATTTTTCTAATTAAAAGGGTATACTCTTTTTGTTATAAAAGATTATGTCTACCCCATAACTCTTAGACTTAAGCACAGATATGAGGATTATCTGGTTGCTTATTAGCAATAACACTGTATGCCTTTATGCTCAATGTTAAAGAATGGAGAGCTATTCAAGAAGTAAAGTGTTCAGGGGTAAGTATAGACTGCATATTGAATAAGTGCTCAATATGATTTACTCACCTTTGAGTTGAAAGAGTTTTTGTCAAGTCTAAACCAAACAATTTTTCAGAATTTGTTCAAAAGGATATTAAGACTGTTTTAAATCTGAAAAAAATTAACCAATTCTTCTTCAAGCGTTGCACCACATAGTTAGCCCTCGATTTAGATGTTCCAGCCCTGATAAAACCTAAAAGGCTCAATCTGCAGTCAGGTTTGCTTCTTGGAGATGCAGCTGAGTACCAAACCTCCCTCTCTTTTTGAAGCTTTCCTTCTTTCCACAGCTGGGGTTAGCCGTTCCCTCTGATGTAGCTAGCACTTTAGTTACATCTCTGTAGTAGTTCCTATTATACTTTTTGATTCCCCAGCATGTTTTACTGTATTACAAAATGTATGCATGTTCACCTTTTCCCCCTCCTCTGTTCTGTCCCTCCCTCCATCCCTCCCTCTCTGCTTCCTTCTCTTCCTTCTCTTTCTCCCTCACTCTCCCTCTTTTTCTCTCTCCCCCTTTTTCTCTCTCTCTCTCTCCCTCTCCCTCTTTTTCTCTCTCTTTCTCCTTCCCTCTGCCTCCTACTCCATCCCTCTCTTTTTTTCTTTCAACTGCTGTGTTGGCTTCTTATTGCTTATAGGACTACATTCAAACTCATCACTCTGATATTCGAGGTCCTCTTATAAATTAGGCTGTATTTCCAATTGCTCCAGTGTGACTTCTTCAAGTATTATACCTCATTCTCAGATAGATAGATAGATAGATAGATAGATAGATAGATAGATAGATAGATAGATGATAGAATTGAGAGAGTAGTTTCAGGTGACTTTTTTGCTTTTTATTTACATTTATTAGGCAGCAACATGGTTTTTCAAGGAATGTGGAGCTACCTGGGTTCAAATCTTTCCCCTACAGCTTACTAGCTATGTGCCCTTGGCAGACTGCGCTATAACCCTCTCTAAGCGTCACCTAGTACTGTATTGCCTGTGTTAGCGTGCCCTCTCAAGGATTAAATTTTAAATTCCTGTAAAATGTTCATTACCTCATGATAATAATACATAGACACACACACAGGGAAAGTACAGTCTCTTTTTTGCATATGCAAACATCATGAACTCCTTGTATGTCTGTAAATATAAAATTATTTTTAATGCTACCCAGTCGTGTGTTTTGAAAAAATTAACGGTATACAAATAAACAATTATTTTATTAATTTTATACATTTTTAGTGGGAAATGGAGAAGAATCTAACATGCATGGAGTTACACTCTGTGCTGGAAGCTTACACACTCATTTATAAACATCTTTTCATTTTATAAACCAACTGAGGGTGGAGGTGGCATTAGCCCCATGTTGCTGATGAAGAAACAATGTCTTAGAGAAGTTTGGTAGTTGACCCAAGATTATATAGCCAGTAAGTGATAGTCAGAATTGTACTGTCCACCACAATATGCTGCTTCTTCCACCAAATGACATAAATAACTTCTGTAGGTACCGTGACAAGAAATTCAAAATTTGAGTCTAGCAAAGGAGTTTTGTTATGTTAAAATGTGGCAGTCTTGCCCTGGCCCTCGTGGCTCAGTGGTTAGAGCGTTGGCCTGCACACTGGAGGGTTCTGGGTTCACTTCCTGACCAAGGGCACATACCTAGGTTGCAGGTTCTGTCACACATGTCCCATCTAGGCATGTGTGGGAGGTAGCCAGTCTATGTCTCTCTCACATCGATGTTTCTCTTTCCTCTCTCTGTCTCCCCTTGTCCCCTGCCTTTTACTCTTTCAAAAAATCAATGGAAAAAATATCCTTACTCCTTGGGTGAGGAAAAATAAAAAAATAAAATGTGGCAGTCTCTAGTTGGTTTCTGTTTTGTAATATTTGACATTAGGCCTATTTCACAAGATTCAGAAATAAGGCCGTAGGGCTTTCTTACTAATCAATCTTACCAAACAACTGAAAATGTCAAAGTTGGCTGTAGATTATTAAACATGTCCTGTTCAGTGGTAAAGACTACAGTGTTGTCAAAGGCCCAAAGAAAGAGGAACATTTGTTTTATTATTTCTGTCTTTAAATCTCTCCCTGACTTCAGGAATGCCAGAAATACCTAGGAAATTCTAGGCCAGTTTAAAAATACACTGCTTTTATCTGTTTGTTTTGAGGCTTTTGTTTTGTTTTATTTTTCCTATTGCCTGATTTTGTTTTTACCATAGACAAGTCTAATTAGTAGATTCAGAATTCAGTGGTGGTTAGTCAATGTGGACTGTCTTACATTCAAACAGAACCTTCAACAATATTATCCATATAAAGTTTTAATTTTAATTTTTTCATATTCAGTCAGGAACATGGCTTAGTTCCAAATTTCCACTCAAACGTTTCTACCTCAACTATCTCTCCACCAGCCAGGGTCATTGTTTATAATTTCTATAATTCTCCTAAAGTCCCTTCAGTTATTCTGGATAAACTTGATACTGGTTTTTTGTTTTAGGAATTTATGCTTTTTTCGTGTGTCTAGCTGTCTGTTTAGGAAAGCTGGTATTTTTGAGGAGCAGGCCATCTTATTATCCTGTTGAGTGGGGAATGAGGTTTAGTTCTGTTTTTACTTTTGTTTTATCTAGTTTTTGCTTTTATTAAATTAAGGAACAGATTAAGTGAAACCTAACAAATTTGTTACTCCTCAGTCTAAGAACCGTTTGCTCTGAGTCTTTATTTGTGTCTTTTAGAAATCTCCCCAAAGTCTTAGCAAGAAGATCTTGCAAGGAAAGTTGTAAGCTTTAAGGCCTGAGTGCCAGCTGAGTTCCATTTAGCAGTATTTAGAGTACTTTTACCAAGACCAGAATGCTGGTCAGGACTTCCTCTTTAAACTTGATTGCCCTCGTTTATTTCTTACTGCTTCTGGTGCTCAAAAAACAGGCTTGATAGTAGTTACAATGACCAGACGATTAATCTCTAGTGCGAACTCACCGCACACCTTCTTTTAAGGAAAAAGAAAGGAAGTAAAGAGGAAAATACCAAAGTACCTTTTTCCTGATTATCGTATACCAGAGATGGGACTAAGTGAGTCTTCTGGCCATATTTCAGTTTCATATAAACCTGTTTCCCGCTTCACTTTTCCTCTGAGGAAAGATGTTTACCACATACAGTGATGGAAGCGGCCAAATGGGGTGCCTGGCACAAGGATGTTTGAGGAGGAATCTGGGTGATATGATTGATGTTTCCATTGGGAAAGCATTTTCTACATGATTGACCTCTTAGAAAATGTTGACAGTTTTTCAGTCCTTTAATGGGAGACTAAAATTAATTTTAAGGGAGAGTCTACCAATGGAAGAAAACCTGGCTGTGCCATATTTACTAAAGGAGAATGTGTTGGTCTCTAATAGTTCTTTCTAGGGTAATTTCAACAAATGTGCAATTTCTGCCTTATGTATTTATTTGAGAACTAACTCCCTCTTAAGATGTGATTCCTCTGTATTGAGCGCCTGCCTGCTTGATGCCAGGCACTGATAGGTGTCAAAAGAATGAAAATTTGGTTTTGTCCTTTAAGTAATTCACAATCTTGGTAGCTCATAAGCAAGAGAGGACAACTGTAGGTAATGGGGAGGAAGAAAAAAGTATTGTAAAATTAAATGGGCAAATGCTTATAAATTATTATAATATGACCCAAAATAGTTTGTTTTGGATGTTATGTTAGCTTAAAAAAAAAGAATTTTCAAGTGTGTGTTTTTTTTAACGTTGTGTGTATGGAAGTGACTTGCTAAACTCTGAGGGTGCTAAAAGAACTATAAGCAAGAGTTTTTGTCCTGAAAAATCTCACAACTCTATGCAGTTCTCACATATGCCGATCTTGACAGTGTTTAGCTGAATATCATGACATTTTAATTATACCTGGCCTTACGTCATATGTAATGTTTTCTTCTAGGTTTCCATATATTCTGTACCAGAAAAGATTGATCAAGTTTATCATGCCTTGGAAACAACTGTGAAGCTTCTTGAATTTTACCAAAACTACTTTGAAATTCAATACCCACTTAAGAAATTGGGTAAGAATCAAACAGTGCCTCTGATTTCTGTCACCATTATAACCTAGAATCATTTGGCAAATGTTTTTTAGAAAGAACTCAAAATTATTATAAAAGAAAACCAAGAAACACTGTTAATGATTTAAAAATTGTTTGTATTTAAGATCATTTAGATTTTATGAGTGTATCTGAATGTGGAACTTACAACACTTAGAAATTTATAACACTTTGCTTAGGGCTTAGTCTGGAGTTTAATTCTAACTTCCTAAGAAATTCCTGACTCAGATAATAAACCTGAGTACTGGAAGCTCTGGAAAACAAGAGCGTTTCAGTGCTCTTCAACATGGAGCTGATTCTATATAGAAGAGAGTTGGCCCTCCCCATTGTGAAGGAGTTAGGTATCTCTTCCTTTGCCTAGGGACAGGGGAACAGTGGGTCTACAGGGGATTGATCAGGTCTCCCTCAGCTGACCTNCTACAGGGGATTGATCAGGTCTCCCTCAGTCGGTGAGGGGTATACAGGGCTCAGGTAAGGAAGGTTCAATTCGTTAGGAGTATAAAATAAACTCTGCCTCTAGATCCACAGTGATAACAATGGGTAAACTATTTTGATTTAACCAGGGAGTTGTTGAGGAGAAGTTGATTACTTTTTTCCTGTTATGTCCAGATTTGGTGGCTATTCCTGACTTTGAAGCAGGAGCAATGGAAAATTGGGGTTTGCTCACCTTCCGAGAAGAGACACTTCTCTATGACAATAATACTTCTTCAGACGCGGATAGAAAACTGGTTACTAAAGTCATTGCTCATGAACTGGCCCATCAGGTATGAGCAGCAAGGCTGTTATATCTCATACTTGTGGTCTGTTCCATATCCTAGAGTGTTAGAATAGGTTTAGATGCCAATAATTTACCTTTTTATTGTAGTATTGCTTTCATAATAAAGTGTTGCTTTTGAACACAATTGAAAATGCTATTTAATGTCTGTATAGGACTTTACAGTTTATAAAGCATGTTCATGTGTATTGTCTCAATTTTCATAGCTGCTGTAAGGTAGGTAATAATCCCATTTTACAGATGTTTCCAGAAATGAGACCCAGCTTAAGTAAATGACTTGCTCAGAGTCACACAGCTAGTAAATGGCAGCACTGGGCTCTAAAGAAGCACATCATCAAAATTTCTCTCTCCCCCCCCCCAATAACACACAATTGTTTTGCCTCTGACAAATGCCACCTGCTCAGTTTAACTAGGAGGGGAGGGGAGGGATCTTTTTCCTAAGTTGCACTCTCACAACTTTCACACTATAATCATGAATAGATTTATTTTTTCACTCCTGCTAGAACTGGATTTTTTATTAGAGAGAGGAAGGGTATTCTTTGCCCTTCCATGGAGAAGGGCCATGTATGCCATGGAGAAAAAGAAAATTATACAGGTACATGAACCTCCCTCTCTCTTCCCCAATACCTTGTCTCTCTTGCATCCTTGTGAGGAGGCGTTTATCAGTGTTGGGTATGATTTAGGGGTATCATGATGGTGGGAGGATATGGAAGAAAAGTAGAACATGCTCTGGGCTGTTTACTCCTATCTCAAACTCAACCTGAATACAACTGTATAGCCCTTGTGAAGACTTCATGACAAGCTGGCATACGAAGGGTATGCTTATTTACTATTATTGTGTTAGGCATTTAGACAAGGTGTCTTTTAGGGGCTCTCCTCTGGATCTGTTATTTCTAGGGCTGCCCATCACTACTTGGGGAGTATTTCTTCAGGACTTACAAATCATCTTCATCTGAAACAGGTTTTAAGATATCTTTGAAAAATATGTTCTGGTAATTCTCAAAAGTGTTTTGTTTCAGTACTTAGTAACCTTATAGTTTTGCTGCTGGTTTGACTCAAGGCCACACTGACTATCGCATACCCTATCACCACATTTTATTTCAGTGATTTTTGAGATACATATTTTAGGAGAGTCTCCTATCGTTTTTACCTTCTTACTTCCTCATAGAAAAACACATTTAAGATCTTTCTGATTTCATTTATTTACATGCATGCCAACTTTCTTAAGGATTGTTGTTTGAATTCTGTTTTGAATCATGTAAATACTGTCCTCAATTTGGGTAACTGAGAAGAAATGTGAAATATGGGCTCTCTATAGGAAAATCTGTCACAGAGAAATTTATTTTTTACTTGTCATTGATGGTTGTAGATGCAATGGAAAATAACCTTACTAATTTGATATTAGAAAGTAGAAGAATTTCATTACCTAGGAAATCTCATTTTTAAAGAGGTGTCTAAAAACTTTTTTTTTAACCTAATATGTAACATGTGTTAAATTGATAAATATGCTAATTGTCTGTTTTGCTTGTTTTCCCATTCAGTTAAGGTAAAATTAAAAAATTTTTATTTTACTTTTAAGGTAAATTTACACAGCTTTTGTAAGTCTTTAATTTGGATATAGTTTGTTTTAACTATAATGACTGTATTTTTAAGTAATTGTCATCTAGTTATAGGTGATAAATCTAACAGTTCAACTATTAGAACATTCTTGAGAATAACTATTTTGTTGGTTATTAATTTGTTTTTCCCCACAGTGGTTTGGTAATCTGGTAACGATGCAGTGGTGGAACGATTTATGGCTAAATGAAGGTTTGGCTACTTTCATGGAGTATTTCTCTTTGGAAAAAATATTTAAAGAACTGTCCAGTGTAAGTACAGTGTTTTTAGGCCTACTGTGAATGCTAGAGGGAAAACAGTAAAATCATATTCACCATGCATTTTCTATGCATTTACAGAAATGAAAATGTTTCTAGAAAGAAACAATAAAATTGGCCTCTGTTACTTATGTCTGTCCCTCTTGGGATCTGACCATGAAAATTATGCTTTTATTTACTGGTATATCATTGGAAGCTGAAAGTATGTGAAATTATTTTACATTTTGTTGTTAAGATGAACATTGTTTTTGAACATTGATTTGCTACCTTTTCTTTTTAATAGTTGTGATTCTTCCTCTTGAAGGAATTTAGATATAGCTGAAAAGCCTTTTTTTGTAAAACAGAACTTTTTATCCTGTGCATAAAGAAAGAAAAAATTAAGATATTTTGTAGCAATGGTGTCTATTATTAATCTGATCTTGCTTATAACAGTGATATATAAGTTGATACAGACAAATAATTTGCCCTTTTTAGATACAAACCGTATTTTGTTCCTTTTCAAAGACTTGGAACACCATTCTGTTATAGAAAGCGTAATAATGTCACTATGTTATTACACTCTTTGGAGATGTTTCCCATCCTGAGATATTTGGACACACTAGGCTATGATATGACAGATATTTCCAAATAATTCAAGCAAAGTAAAGATCCCTTTCAACCCCAAATTTCTGTGACTTTCTATTAAACTTCCTGGTTATATGATCTAAGACTTCTTTAAAACAGGAATACTCTTAGAGCTTTCAATTTGAATTTTTTTGTAGCGCCTGTTCAAAAATTTCAAGTGGCACAGAGGAACTCATTTTTAGCTACAAGACTAAACAAGATACTTTAAATCTGTGTATGCTCCTTAATTAAGCAGTGAGATTCACAGTTTCACCACTTGGTGGTGCCCAGAATGTTTAAAAGCTTCTAATATATATACTAGGGGAGCTTATCTGCTGAGCTCTCAAAGAATTCTCTCCGTTTAAGAGTTATATTTTATTTCAAATGAACCTCAGTTAAAGGAAATGTATATTATCTTAATAGAGAAGCTGGACTGTATATAGTAAATCGACTTAAGGACCAGTTTTTATTTTTGTTTTTTATTTCAGATTTTATTTTTAAAATATACACAAACTTTTTTAGACTATTCATCTTGAATATCAGGGTTTGGCCTTTGGTTGCTGTAGTAATAGAATCTTAATTTATCCTTATACTATTTTTCATGTGGCCAGGAGATTATAATTTTATTTTTAAATTTAAGGACTATATGTGAATGTCACACTCTTCTTCTATTTTCAAAAGCTTATGTTCTGAAGTTTAGTGAATCTGGTTATTTTTTAATAATGTCCTTAAGCAGTAGGCTAATTTATATAAATAATTGCTGTACTTGCCTTTGCCTTTGATCCTGTTCATGATTTCCTAATCTGTTTAATTTTATACTAGTATGAAGATTTCTTAGATGCTCGATTTAAAACCATGAAGAAAGATTCCTTGAATTCATCTCATCCAATATCATCATCTGTTCAGTCTTCAGAACAGATTGAAGAAATGTTTGATGCTCTTTCCTATTTTAAGGTATTGCTTTGCACAGTAGTACCTAGAGTAGGTTTCAAATTAATTTCATATGTGAACATGGTTTATATTATTTAAAGATTAAATGAGTGTTATTTTCAGGTATCTTGTTAAAATTTACAATATTTGTGTCTATTTAAATCTTGATCTTAACTTTTTCTGGGTTATTCTCTTTTTCTCTGACTCTCGTTTATGTTTTCTGACTAGATTCTGGGCAGTTAACTAGATCTTATAGCAATATATCTTTTAAAATTGGTTTAGTCTTTATATCTATAGACAGGATATGTCCAGGGAGGGTTCTAAGCAAACCCTTGGCTATGTTATTCAGAATTGAGGTATATTCCAAAGTCAGAATTTCCAAAACAAGTAAGTGAACAGATATTTTAAGAATTGAAGATTAGGAGATTCCAAGGTGGCTGCAGAGTAGGTGGAAGCTACTCTCACGTCCTCTGGCACCAAACCAGATTTATAGCTAAATTATAGGGCAGTCAACCTGAATAACCAACTGAAGGACAGCTGAACAGTAGTATTATACCACGGATTTACAGAAGAGCCCACATAGAGACTGGTAAGAAGAATGGAGATGTGAGGAGGGCTGGCCCCTGCACCCAGGTGCTGTGGCTGAGAAGCCACAGGGATGTCTTGGCTGCAAAAGTCTCCCCTGAGGAGTGTGGGGGTCTCAATCCCATGCTGGATCTCCAACCCAGAGCATCAGAGCTGTGAAGACAAACCTGCATAGCATCTGGCAGTGCAAATCAGTGGGGACTCTGTCTGCCTGGAAGACGAGGGTGTCTGCTAGAAACCCAGGTGCTCTTTTAAAGGGCCAATGCACAGCGCCTTGGGGCTCCAGTAGAGGGAAGGCAACTCAGGGCATATGGGGGTCATAAAGAGAAGATCTACAAAGAAGATCTTGATGGCATGGCCCTGAGGAGAGACCTGGAAGGTACAGCCACTGAGGCCCCTGTGCTGAGTCCCTGTCCCACACCACTCCCAGGCGCCACTTCCCAGGGTCTGACACTCCTATTCTTGCTGCACCAGCCTGGGGAGTACACTAACCCAGAGCTCCAACTACTGGACACGCCCTATCACGTTTGAGTCCTGAGGAGGGGTCTGTTGGATGCACCCAACAGGAACCTTTGGTGCCCTCTCTTTCTGGAGAAGCTCTTGGCGGTTATTGAACTGTGTGGCTTTGGAAAGGGGACCATTTTTGCCCCACTCCAGCAGGCAAGGCAGCTTCCACCCCCAACAGGAGACTGTTTTGATTTGTCCTGCCAAGTCCTGGTGGCCCTGCCCTGCTGAGCTCAGTTCTGAGGTGGGGAAGGGAGTGCTGCTCAGAGCTGGGACCTTTGGAGCCCGTCTCCTGCTGAGGTTCTTGTCTGGGACTTGGTGGGGCGCTGGATGGTGTGGCTGCAGAGTAGGGGAAAGGGGACGTGTTTGCCTCCCTCCTGCTGGAACAGCTGGCACCAGCCCCAACAGGAGACCCAGTTCATCTGTCCTCCCAAGTCCGTGCCATCAAGAAAGTCAAAGTTTAGGTGGTGGGTACTTGTGAAGCAATGAGAGATAATATGTGCTAAAGGAATGGTAGAGTATTTTTGTCTGAGATTATGAAGATAAATTTTTGGAGGAAAATGGAATGTATTGTACAGGTTAATTTCATAGGATTTGCTAATGGATTAGATGTGAAATATAAGTGAGGAGTCAAGGATGACTTTAAAATTTTTGTCTGAACAACTGGAAAAATGGAATTGTTACTTGCTGCATTGGAGAAGACTATTGGAGGAGTAGAATTTGGGCAAGAAGAAAATAAAAAGTTCAGTTTTTGAGATACCAAGCAGGCAGTTGGGTATGAGTCTGGAATTTAGAGAGGAAGTCTGGTTATATATATAAATTTGAGATCAATTAGGAAGGAAATTTGGAGAGAGAAGAGAAGAGATCTGAAGATTAAATTCCAGGAAACATCAAAGTTTAATCCTTAGGAAGATGAGGAGGAACCAGCGAAAGAGACTGAGAGGTTTAGCCGGCGAACAGTGGAGACGAGAGTGGTGCCCCAGGGCCGAGTGCAGAAGGACTTCCAGGGAGGAGGGATGGTCAGTCTTATCAAAAGCTGCTTACTGGTGCTTGAGAAGTTGAGCCTGAGAATTGACATTGGTTTGACACCTTGAAGTTCATCTTGAAGAAACCTGGATAAAAACACTTCCAGTGGAGTGACGGCTGGCAGGTGGCTCAAGACAATGGAGACGGCAGATGCAGGCAGCTATTTTGAGGAGTTTACTGCAAAGCAGGAACAAGAAATAGGGTGATGGCTAGAGGAGGCTTGAGGTTAAGGAAAGGAGGGACATCTTTTAATTGTTTAAAATGAGTAATGTTACATAGTCTGTAGTTTTAATGGGAAAGTTACAGTAGAGAGGGAAAGTTGGTGATGCAGGAGAGAAGGGGAGATGTTGGAAAAGAACGAATGTTTAAATGTGTAGAACATGTGACACTGGAGAGTAGTAGGTGTTAAATTCAGTTCATGTGTATGTGCTAATTTTAATGACTTAACATTGCTCCATTTTTATCACAAGTGAAATTTATTCAAAAGCCATTTGAGTGCTTACTCTGGACTAGGCATTGTTTTAATCATTGGAGTTGAATTTTTCATTTTCCCTTCAACTAGCACACAGTCCAGAAGAAATGAATATATATCTATAGCAGATGCGTGAGGTGATATAAATTGCTTTTGAAGCTGGAGAAATAGGATTTCTATCTTGAATCAGGGAAGGTTCATCGAGAAGGTGGTGGTGGTTTTAAGGTTGAGAGTGATGTGTGCATCAGTGAATATAGTGTGACCTTAATAGGTGCATGCCTGATTCTGAATTATTAGTGTATACTTAGTACCCTATACATTTATCAGTTCCAAACATATTGGAAGGGACACTGCAGGAAGAGAGATCTTGGTTCGTTCAGCAACATGATATACTAAAATTAGAAATGAGTGTATTTCCTAACAGAGAGACTTTTGAGAGCTGAGCTCTTCTAATTTATTGTCCCTAGCAGTGTGCCCATGAATTGAACTGGTACCTTAACCATTGGGGATAAGAGTGGGTACCACAGAAAATTTGGCATGTTTTTCTATTAAAAATATAATCGTCGAGCTTTTTAACACTAACACTGAAACAGTAACTGATAGACCACATAAAGTGGCTCACAGTAGAATTAGTGCACATGGAAATCTACTCCATTAATTCTTTTCAAATCCTTTGAAATAATTTTAAGACAATTTAAACATAGTTCACATCTGGTTATATGAGACTACATAACAGTGTGTTATAACTAGGCTTTATATATGAAAGTATATGCTTAGATTGATTATATTCTGAATTTAGATTCTCAGTTCTATAGTTCTTTTGTATCCTATTTTCCTCCCTTTCTCAATTTTTTTTTTAATAGGGAGCTTCTCTCTTGTTGATGCTGAAGACTTACCTTGGTAACGATGTATTTCAGCGTGCTCTTGTTCTTTACCTGCATGATCATAGCTATGCATCCATTCAAAGTGATGATCTGTGGGATAGTTTTAATGAGGTAAGTTACCTGGATCTTTTATTTGGCTCTTAAAGTAAAAAGAGAGAAGTTCTATTTATATTTGATCAAGTATGCAAATAAGCTGTTGTACCAAAGACAGTTGTTTGAGAAAGAGGGGGATGGAGCTTAGGATATGAATATTTATGAATAGAGCACAGAATTAAAAGTCAATAAATGGAATTGCTAGTCCTAATTGTTGAAAAATTGTGTGTGGCCTTGTGTAACCATTTTTATTCTATACCTTAATCTCCATTTCTACTTTGTAGGAAAGTTGTCTTTTCCAAATTAATGTATATTACTATATTTTCATTTTTTTCTTCAAAAATCTTTTTTTATTCTTATGCTTTTGCAGTTTTTCTACCTCCCATTCATGATTTTTTTTTTGTACTCTGCCCTCTGAATTGCCCTGTCTTTTGGGGCCATGTTCCTCTGGAGTAGATGATACATCACAAGCTGGCTGCAATGGCTGCACACTGCCCTCCCACTGCTTTGCTGTTTGGATTTTGTTGTGCCTGCAAATATTCTAATAAGCAGTGTAATTACATACAAGTTATGCTTCATAGCCGTGCATGAGCCTGGCCTGCATCGTGCGTGTATGCTAACTGCCTAACCCTTAGAAGCATTTGAGTTTTTTACCATGATCTAGATAAAGTTCTTAAAGTTTAGAAGATCACAGACGTATTTGAAAATGTGATGAAAGTTCTGGACATATTCCCCAGAAAAATCACATAATGTAAAACATCACACACAGTTTCAAAGTCTTATGGACCCTGCTAAGAGCCCTGCTCTGGATCTTTTCCGTATGCTCGTCCTGCTTCCTCACCTTGTCTGAAACCTGGTGCTTTCTAGCTTTTAACCCTTTGCCCAGAAGATGTATCTGCCCTACTCTCTGAGTTCTCTTTGAGAAGAGGGATCTGTTTTTATTACCTAAAAGTTGCATCCAAATCAGTTACTCCTCTTATTTCAGTTGAAAGCTGCATTATTTATTGTATACTTGTTCTATTATCTCCTGACATTTAGAATATATTTCTGCCTTCCTCGCTGATTTCAGCTTTTGTGTCATCGTGACTTCCTATCCCAGCCTAGTCCCTAACGGCATCCTCAGGATTTTTACCATCCGCATCAAATTGTGCACTGGCCGCTTCATTTCATTTCTGCCTCAAAGACCAAAAGTGCCTTGCTTTGGAGCAAGCTTGTTTTCTTCCCAACCCCTTGTCCAGAAATAAATAGATCCCGGCCGTGAGAAATATAAAATTATTATCAAAGTGAACTCGGGAGGCTTTGCCCTGTCCTTTTCCGCTTTAAATAAGTAGGAATATGGTGACCAAGGTAGGTAGGCTGCCACAGTGCAGCGATACTGCCAAACATTTTAAGTACTTGGTGATTTTAGTCGCTTGCCATTCAAGTCTATATGTAATCTAGAAAAATAATTTGAGTCATAAGTTTAACTCACTTTCTTTAAAGAGATAGTTGTTCAAAAATTGCCTCTTAATCATTGATACCAAATGTTTCAGGGACAGTGGGCTTTGGAGGACCGGTGAACTTCTGACACTGGATTCTAGATTTCTGTAGATAAGTTTAGTTAATTATCTGGAAAAGAGGGTCTGGACCATCAAATAACTAAAAGAGGGTCTGGACCATCAAAAATGTACTGCTGTTCTCTAGAGAGACTTAAAGTCGAGGCAACTGACCTATTTATATTTCACTCTTCTGCTACTGCTGCTGCCCCCTGGCATTCCCACAGTATTAGTTCTTTAAAAGAAGAACTTTGACATTTATGAAAGCAAAGGGTCTGGAGAGGAGAGAAATCTGTACTCAGCTGATTCACAGGAGTAAGTAGCAGTGCTTCTGATTCTAGACTATACGTCATTATTCATACCTTCAGTGCTAGTCCTGTGAACTGAAAGAGTGCTCATATCTCCTTAGGGATTTTCATGAACACTCGGTTGATAGTATCTGCTTTTTCAGCATAGTGCCTCTCTCACACATCTTAGTAATCACTTAGTTCTGTTCTAGGTTACTTTCCTTTTAGCAACTGTTCACTTGCCTAGTTTAGAAATGTAAATTCAACTCAGCATTTGTGCTTCTTTTTTTATATTAACACTAAATGTAGTCTTCATAAGATGTGGTAGAGAAAGAGGGAAGGATATAAACTGTAAAGTTTTTAAACTGTGTAAGCAAAAATAATTTATTCTTTTATTTATAGGTCACAAACAAAACACTAGATATAAAGAAAATGATGAAAACCTGGACCCTGCAGAAAGGGTTTCCTTTAGTGACTGTTCAAAGAAAAGGAAAGGAGCTTCATGTACAACAAGAAAGATTCTTTTTAAATATGAAGCCTGAAATTCAGCCTTCAGATGCAAGGTACATGCCCTCTTTCTCACCCTGCTAGCTCTTTTGTACCCTCAGGTTAAAGTATTTTTAAATGGTTTATAATCATAGGTTCTTATAAAATCTCTAACAAGATTATTCCTTTCTGGAAATACCTTGAAAATTTTCACCTTCCTGCCAAAAAAAGAAAACCCCAAAAACAAAAAAAGCAAAAATCAACAAATTTTGTGTAACTGACTGAAGTATTGGAAAGTGTAATGATCTTTCAATATTTTCTTTTTATAGCTATCTATGGCATATTCCACTATCCTTTGTTACTGAGGGAAGAAATTCTTCAAAACATCAATTGGTATCATTTCTGGACAAGAAATCAGGTTTGACTTAACACTTCTCTTATAAGAAATTGGAAACAGCATATTTTTAAAACATCTTACCAAGCAGCAGAAAGGAGTTCACACTTTCCAGTGTGCTCACTTTCTGAGCTGGTTTTATGAGTCACGTATATGTGATGTGACTTAAGTGAGCTTGAGTCTATGTATCTATGATGCATTGGTCTATGATGCATGACNCACCTATATGTGATGTGACTTAAGTGAGCTTGAGTCTATGTATCTATCATGCATAAAATTGGTCTTTCTTAGTCATGTGACATAAAGTATAAAAAGTTGCACTGAAAGTGCTAGCGGTCCTGGTAGAAAATAACAAGTGCTATATTTTTATATCCTAGATAAATACTTTATGTTACAAAGTAAGAAGCAGAGCAGTTTTCTTAACCTGTGCTCTCTTGTCTGCTTTCTAGGGGTGGGCTGCAGCAGCAGCATTTTAACAAGCACCCTAGATGATTCTTATGCTTAATAAAGGTTGATTCATGACCTAGATTTACAGTAAATAATTATTACAAAATGTCCTGTAGACATAGTATACATTTTTGGTAATGAAAAAAATGGGGCAAAAAAATTATGATGGCAAGGAAGGGGATAGTAAAATGTAAATATTGTATATGCTGACACACAACGAGTCTATAAAAAGTAGTTGAAATGTGTTTTCTGACCATCTGTTAACTACCTCTATGAATGCCATACCATATGTCCTCTTAATTTAGACCCTGAAAGAACATAAGGCTTCTGGGTTCGTCAGGAACCATTAGTGATGCTCTAGATTTATGGAAAGGGAAGGTTTCTCATTTGAATGTGTATCTGGTGTTTAATCCTGTATTTTTGAGAGTGAAGAGAAACATTGATGTGAGAGAGCCACATTGATTGGTTGCCTCCCACATGCACCCTGACTATGGCCAGGGAACAGACCTGCAACCCAGGTATGTGTCCTTGACAAGGAGTCAAACCCAGGAGCCTTTCATGCGTAGGCTGATGCTCTAACCACTTAGCTACACGGGCCAGGACAGTGCTGCCTTCTTTAATGAAAACAAAACTGCATGCTTTAAGTGGGTCCTAGAAGGATAGCCTCTTACCTAAGAAAGAAGAAATAATCTCATCTTCCTGTTTGAAAGGTACCAATAAGGACATTTTGCAAACCTCCCAATAGTCTGTAAGTTTTTGGTGGTATTCAAAGTAATTGGACAATAAGATATCTGCTCTTATTAGCCCTTTACTTTTTATCTCAGTTTACATATGAGCTTTTTAAACTCTTTGACATTTACATCCCAAAGCCTAACTCCTGTTTTTCTGTAATAGCCTTTTTATCTAAGCCCTTACCTGGCATGATGTGTTTCCACTGCACAAAAATTGTTTGAGCAACTCAAACAGGCTCTTCCTCTTATCTCTCGGTGGCCTCTGTTTATGCTGTTTTGTCTCCTGGTAAAACACTCTTGCCTCCCCACTCCCTTGATTGACTCCTGTTCATTCTTCAGATCTCACTTCAACCCTGGCTTGCTCCAGGAAGCCTCCCCTCACCCCGAGACATAGTAGAGGCCCTACTATGTGCTTTAATAACTTTCTCTACTTCTCTACTTTTGTTTATGCTAAGTACTGTTTCACTTGTATCTGTCCCCACATTAGATGTGTCTCCTAATGAAGGTAAATATCATGACTGTATGAATCACTTTTGCAACCTTAGCACCCAGTAGGCACGCGAACATTTATTGAATGAATAAATTTTGTCTGTAATGAAGTGACTCAATTTCAAATGTCATGGTCGAAAGATCTAGGAAAAGAGCATTCAAAGCCTGGTGAAATTATATCTTTGTTTCCTTTCATTCAAAATATTCTTAGTAGGGGGAATATACAAAATGCACTGTAATACAGTTGTAATCTAGAGCTGGGACTGAGCCAATACACAGTGGAAGCAGTGTCTGTTGGTTCCTCTTCTCAGCTGTGGGATTTCCCTTACTGCTGCTGCTGCTGCTTTCATCCCTGGCAGTTCGCGTTTTGATGGTTCACATTGAGAATGTTCTGTCCTCACAAAAAAATGTTGGACCCTAAGGACAGTAGCTCTTCTTGGTTCCTGATATTTTAATGAGAATCACTCTTATTTTAATTTTTTCTGTTCTCAAAAGAAATGTAGCAGAGGTGGTGGCTACAGAGTCATAGTTTATGTCATATGACTTTAGTACAGAGTGTTATCTTGGTAGCTTATTAAATCTTTAGTATATTTCCATGTGTTCAGGGTTGCTGCGTTAGTCCATTAGCTCAATCAAATATAGGAGTTATATTTGGTTAACATTTTTGTCACTTTTCCCTGCATTCATGAATTTTGAGAAATGAGTAGTTGTGTAGAAGAAGGGCTGAAAGGCCGAGCCAGAGCGGCTCAGTTGGTTCAATGTCATCTGTGCACCAAAAGGTTGCTGGTTCCATTCCTGGTCAGGACACATACCTAGGCTGTGGGTTCGATTCCCCGTACAGATGGATGTTTCTTCCCC